CCCTGCTCTGTTCGTGACAGGGGAAGGCGCCCCAACCCCCTGATCAGCCCTGCTCTGTGCGTGACAAGGGGTGGCGCCGCAACCTCCCCATCGACCCTGCCTTGAGTGTGACAGGGGGCGGTGCCCCAACCCCCCAATCGGCCCTACCCTGAGCGTGACTGAGGGTGGCATTGCAACCTCCCGATCCGCCCTGCTCTGTGCATGACGGGGCGGCGCCCCAACTCCCCAATCGGCCCTGCTCTGAGCCTGACCAGGGGCTGCACTTAGGGATTGGGCCTGCCCTCTGCCACCCGGGAGCAGGCCTAAGCCAGCAGGTCGTTATCTCCCGAGGGGTCCCAGACTGCGAGAGGGCACAGGCCGGGCTGGGGAACCCCCCCCCCCCGTCCCGAGTGCACAAATTTTTGTGCACCGGGCCTCTAGTAATAATAATATTAAGCAAACTTGTCCTTTGCTCTGCAGGAAGCCATTAATCATCTCTATCAACATCTCTTTCTCCCAAGGCTCACTATACAAACATATCTAAAAAAACAACAGTCTGGGAAAAAAGCAACTCTGCCAGGGCTCTAATTATCTCTTTATGGGAAGAACCTGCATTAGCAGTTTTGCTTTTTGTTGTGTTGGGAGATAGGTCTCAATGCATCTCACATTTCTGCACATCTTATGAGCCTGAAACCAGGGAATTGAACCATGATCTCCTAGTTCACAGGTCAATGTTCAAACACTGAAACACACCGTTCGGGCAGGGTTTGTTTGTTTTTCTAGTTTTAGATAGAAGCTCAGATCATTGACTTGAGATCTTTCCTTTTTTTAAAGGATTAATATTTTTGAGATATAACTGGCATATTATATTAATTTCAGGTGTACAATATGATTGGTGTATTCTGCACAATGATCACCACAGTAAGTCTAGTTAATATCCACCACCACAATAGTTACCAAATGTTTTCCTTGTGATGAGAACTTTTAAAATCTACTTTCTTAGAAACAATAAAATTTATAAACTACTGCAATATAAATCTAATAACAATATACAAATTCTATATACCGATAATAACACTGACATCCATAAATCAAAATAGACCTACATAAGTGAAGAAATATATCATGTTCATGGACTGGAAGAGTCTTCGATATTAAGATGTCTCTTCTTCCTAAAATGTTCACTACATTCCATGCAATCCCTGTCAAAACCCCAGCAGGATTTTTTGTAGAAATAAAAAAGGTGATTCCAAAATTTATATGGAAATGTTGACTCAGTCCTAGGCCATCTTCTCATCTCACTCTTAAACTCTCTCCCTTGGCAATCTCATCATAACCATAGCTTCAACCACCACTACTGCCAAATATGTATTTTGAATGTAAACTTCACTTCTTGAGCAGAGTCCTCCTTAGAGAAGCAAGTTTCAGAGAAGGGAGCTAACTAGGAAAATAATTCAACAAAAGGGCCAATTATTACAAGTGGTAGTAGTTTGCTTAAAAATAAAAAAGGATTTCAGAGAATATGCCAAATGATGGAAGCATAGTAAAAGAAGGGTTGCCTTCTTTTTTTCCCCCTGAGAACTATGGTTACAAGTAACAATCTAAAATTCAAATCTGCAAATGTCCTAAATAGTTAGGGTGGACCACTTTGGTGAGAGACTTGTTGGAGCATGCTAGATATTACTGGCCTATTCTCCAAAGGCTGCCACAAGCTTTGTGGAAGGCTGTGTTTGTGATAAAACTAACCTTGTGTTCAGAACTACAGCAAAGGATCAGATGATGCCTTAGAAATAAATGCAACAGCTGAGCAGGCTTTTATTCATGTGGGAACAGAAGAGTGTCAGACAGGGCACTGATTAGGTCATGATTTTATGGTTCACATATATCTCATTTTGAAATGATAAACTGACAGTAAACAATAAAGACAAATGTCTTTTAATTTAGTTAGCACAATTTATCTTAAGTACTTTTCAATGAAAATACTGAGTTTCTAAATTTTCAGAGGTGATTGTATTGGAAGACTTTGACATCCGGCTTAAAGTGATCTTGTTAGAGCCAAATTCCTTTTTCATTAAACCATTCAGACCCAGAAATGCTTCCACCTTTGAAATCAATAAACTCAAATCTTTCACTCTCTGACCACAGCTTCTTTCCTTTGTGGTCAGTTAGTACCTTTCACTTAACAAACGGTCAACATACGAGGTTCCTTCCTGGTACCCATGACCCTTTTAGACCCAGAAATGTTCCATATTTGAAATTAATAAACTCAAATCTTTCAGTCTCTGACCATAACTTCCTTCCTCTGTGATCTCTCAGTACCTCTCACCTACAAATTGTCAACAACACTAGATTACTCCCTGCACTCTACTAATCGTATAAGTCACACTGGGTCCTACATAACCTATGCTAACACTTTTGATTTTCATTACATTATCAGTGTCCTGTTAATTTCTTAACCCAATGGATATTTCTATGTCTTACCATTTCTACAACACTGAAATGTCACACTCCTTTCAACTTGAAACTCTTTTGCTTTCACTTTTATGATATACTCTGTTTCGGTTTTCTTTTTTCTACCTTAATCATGGTTGAGTTTAAGTGTCATTGATAAGTGAACTCACTGCACCCAAATATATCATATTGCATTGTAATTTTGGTTTACTTGTGTTTTTTTCTGCCACTGGTCTGTCAAGTCCTTGAGGCTAGGAGATGGCATCTTTCAATTCTATAATTCCATTTCTGATAGCAGACACCTAATATATTGTCAGTGAAAATAATTTAGGAAGCACATAAGAAATGCAATCTTAGGGTCAAATTCTATAATCATTTAATTTTATTAAAGTAATGTTAAATTGTGAGGTCATTTAGAGATACAGAAAGAGTCTAACTACTCTTTTGGGGAAATATCATTTCACAAGGAAAAATTCATTAAGAACAAATTTCAAAACATACCTAGCCACTGTTGCTGAGATATTTCACACCAGTATTTTCTCACTGAAAGAATGTCCTTGAGCAGTATATTGCTACAATCGGCTCTATAAATGGCACCATTAGATGAATCTTTCACTGTTTCCATGATATAATTCAAGAGTTCTTGACATTTTAGCCTGGGTGCTCCTATTTGAAAAATAAAATAAACAAATAAATAAACACATATAAATCTTCAGAAAAATAATTGAGAACACTTGGAATGGCAACTATATAAATATAAATAATTCCTTAAATTACTATTAATTAATCTCCTTCTCACAAAGCAGAAATTAGCAAACAATAGCCCATGAGCAAAATTCTGCAAGCCACCTGTTTTTGGAAATAAAATAGCTGAGTAGAGACAGAGATTATGTAGCCTAACAATCATTCATTCCATCTTTAATAATTCACTATTTCTGGAATTAGACCTGAAATGATCCAGAGTTTCTTGGTACTTTAAAAAAGGGAAATTATTAGAATAACAAGATTATAAGGAGAGTATTTATTTTGAAAAGCAAAATTACTTCCAAGACCTATAACAGTATTTATGGCATATAAATATATAAGATTGTAATTTTTACAGTTTTATTTATGAGGTCCTGAATATTCAGCATTAACGGATATATTCTTTTTTTTTAATCCTCACTCAAATATGTTTTTCACTGATGAGAGACAGAGAGAAAAGGGAGAGGGAGAGAGAGGTAGAGAGAGGGGGAGAGAGGAGAGAGGAAAACAGCAATCTGTTGCCTACCACATGCACCTGCACGTGCCTGGACAGATCAAAGCGCAACCTAGGTATGTGCCCGTACCAGGACTCGAACCACAACCAGTGCACCGAAGGGTCCACACTCTAACCAACTGAGCCACACCGGCCAGGAAAGAAATTCTTGAAGGTAAGAGTAAATTTAAAAATTAAGGCTTCCGTCATGCTCCTGGTCATCCTACCATGGCTCTGTCACAGGGGCTGCCTGGGCAGTATCAGCTGCGAACTCCTTGAAACCTTGTGCTCACTGGGTTTTGCCACATCAACATAATTGATATGGATATTACTGATGTCAGCAACCTCAACTGGCAGTTCTTATTTCAAAAGATCTTCTAGTTTTGAAGATCAAAGGTCCAGGTTGACAAAGACAGTGTACGGCAGTATTACCTGAAAGCGAGTATCACAGCCCATCATGACGGCAACATGAACCCCAACTATGATGTGGAATATTTTTGACAATTTATATTGGTTATGAATGCTTTAGATAGCAGAGCTGCCTGAGACCATATTAATAGGATGTGCCTGGCACCTGATGTTCCTCTTATTGAGCATGTAACTGCTGGTTATCTTGGGCAAGTAACCACTATCAAAAAGGGTGTACCTGAGTGTTATGATTGTCATCCCAAACCAACCCAGAAAACTTTTCCCAGCTGTACAATTCATAACACACCTTCAGAACCTATTCTTTGCATCGTTTGGGCAAAGTAATTTTCAACCAGTTGTTTGAAAAACAATTAAGTAGTATATACTGAGAGAGCTGACGCTGAAGCTTCCTGGAAACCAATGGAAGCTGAAGCCAGAGCAGGGCATTGAATGAAGAAGGTGACATTAAACCTATTTCCACAAAGGAAGGAGCTAAATCAACGGGATATAATCCAGTTAAACTTTTCTTTTTCTTTTTCAATCTTTTTACTGATTTCAGAGAGGAAGGGACAGGGAGATATAGAAACATGAATGATGAGAGAGAATCACTGATTGGCTGCCTCCAGCACCCCCCACCCCAACTGGGGATGGAGCCCACAACCCCACCATGTGCCCTAACCGGGAATTGTACCGTGATCTCCTGGTTCATAGGTCAACGCTCAATTACTGAGCCACACCAGCCGGGCCAGTTAAACTTTTTACCAAGCTTTTTAAAGCTGGTATCAGGTATCTTTTGACAATGGGCAAACTATGGGGAAAAAGGAAATCTCCAGTTCCACTGGACTAGGCTGAAGGACAGAGTCAAAGAAGAGACCAATGTATCAGATTAACAAAATTAATCTGTTAGGTCTAAAAAAACACCAGGTTCTAGATGTAAAGAGCAATGCACATCTTTTTCAAAGAGCAATGAGACTTTGAGAGTTCATTTAGCAGAAAAAGGGGATGGAGCTGAGCTCATATGGGACAAGGATGACCCAGCTGTAATGGATTTTGTCACTTCTGCTGCAAACTTCAGGATGCATATTTTCAGTATGAATATGAAGAGCAGATGTGATATAAAATCAATTGAAGGGAGCATTACTCCACTATCACTACTAATGCAGTAATTGCTGGGTTAATAGTATTGGAAGGATTGAAGATTTTATCAGGATAAATAGACCAGCACAGAACAATGTTGGTTTTTTAATCCTGACCCCAGGATATTTTTTTTATTGATTTTTTAAATAGAGAGGGAGAGAGCGAGAGCGAGAGAGCAATAGAGTGAAAAACAACGATGTGAGAAAGAAAGAGCAATAGGTTGCTCCTACGCGCCCCAACCAGGATTAAACCTGCAGTTTGTGTGTCTGCTGCCTTGGGTTTATCAATCATATTTATGGTAGGTAAACTAAACTATTTCCTTTTATAAAACTAACTTGTAACAGATGTGTAGGTTAAGAGATCTCCACTGTTTGCCAAGGATGAGTACTTTCTAAAATAAAGCTTTTAATGACAATGTTGCTTTTTAATTAAAAAAATTTTGAGCAAATCATATAGATGTCACAACTGAAATTTTATCATATTTCAATGTTAACAATCTTAAATTTACATACAATATTTTTTAAGCTATGAGTGTGCTCTACAAGACATTATGTATATCTGAATATATTCTAGTTTTGAATTTTCTTATGATGAGATTAGTTATATTCAGAAGTATTAGACTAAGCTAAATTAATATACAGTGATATAACTAGAAAATTTTATGTAAGGTTTGCTTCATAATTTTAGGCACGTAGCCAATAATCAAATGCACAATCATATGTTCCTCTATTGTAATATCCTGTGCATCTCTCTTAGAGTCCTTATAACATTTTCTTATCTGTAACATGTTATATGATTACATCCTTATGGAAAGTAATTGATCTCTACACGGAGTGTCCAAATTATTATGACCACCTGACATTTGTAGACAAATTAGCTATAATTTCGCGCTGAAGTTGCTAGAGGGCCAGACCATTATAAATAGGGAAGTGGGCTGTTTACCACGACAGAAGTGATTTTTTTCTGAAGTATGGGTAAACAAAGCGATTTAACAGCCTTTGAACGTGGGATATATTTGAATGTGAGTGGCCAGATTATTATGACCACCCCATCAACACTTCGTTGGGGCACCTTTTGCCTTCAATACTGCAGCGATTCTTCTTGGCATTGACTCCACGAGATGTTGAAAGGTGATGCGAGGAATCTGACACCATGCCTGATGAATAGCACTGTCCAGTTCTGTGAGATTTGATGGTTGTGGAACCAGCTGCCTGATGGCTCTTTTAACTTCGTCCCACAAATGCTCAATTGGATTGAGATCTGGTGATTGTGGGGGCCACCTAAGCAAGGTAAAGTCTCCCTCATGTTCTTGAAACCACTCCTACACAATA